CTCATATCAGAAAAGTTGAAGGGCAAGTGGGGGGTTTTTGCCAACGGAGCAAGGATCGGTCGAGTATGATATACAGTAAAATGCGATAGAGAAAAAAACGAAAGCTAATTTTGAGTCTTGTGTAACTTAAAATACTTTAATTAAATCTATTATAAGCGTATCAAAGTTTTTTAAAAATTTCATTATACCCTTAATACAAATTTACTTTTAGCACAATATTTAAAAGAAAATAATATAAATATAATTTTTTAATTATTTTTAATAAAATTTTACGTATTATCTCAATAATTAAATATTTTTATTTATTTAAAATTTATAATATTAAATATATTTATTATTAATAATATATAAAAAATTATATAAAAAATTTATAAAAATATTATATTTATATTACCACTTATAGTTGAATCAATAAAATACAAATGTTATGCTAACTGTACTTCAATAAATCAATAAAGATTACAATTAAATTACTATTCTTCTCAATGTTTCTGTTCTATATTTAGAGACTGCATAGGTTTCTAGTCTAATAACCTGCGCCATTCGAAACGCAAATGAAAAGGATCTGTTGGGTTGAAACGTTTGATCGAATTGAATGGTATTTTGGTTGATGATAGTGGTGGAATTGTACATGGAAAACCTTAAAGACAAAAACAAGAACGATGAACAGTGGAGAGAGGCAAGGGAGGTAAAGTTATGTTTTTTATTTCTTAATTCTAATAATTATAATAAATTAATTTGTTACATTTTTTAAGAGATTTTTAGGTTCAATTAGTGTCAATTGAAATATTATAATAAATGCTTCTAAAAAGAATAAGTTAAATGTTAATTTTAGTCCTTCAATTTTAAAATTTTATATAATTTTCATCCCTTAATCTTTTTATACACTTTTTTGTAAGTTAAATGCTTCTAAAAATTTAATTCGATAGGGTGATTCAACGATTAAAAGTTGAGAACTTCAAGTTGGAGATCTCAAGTTCAAGTTTTAAATCGAGTGGGGAGGGATTTGAAAATAAGAAAAGTTATCCCCTCTGTAATGATGGTAGACAGAGGTCACGTCCTTTGCAGTCTGAGGTCATGCACCTCGGACGATCTAAGCTATTCCCAACAACCTTAAGTCACTTTAGATGTTGTTTGAAGTGCGATGAACTTAGTTGAGTTCAAGCTCGTCCCCTTTACCCTCGCTCTACAATAGCTTTGTACATACAGAGATTTCTTATGAGAGATTTATGCGATGATTGACACACATGACCCCTGTTTTTCGTAAAGATGAACACGTGGACACCCCCTTGAAAGTTATAAATACCCCTAAGAGTCCTCCCTAAAAGGTAATTGAAAATCGATCTCAAGCTTAACTCTTACTTCATATCTGATAGCTCTGATTATTGCTAATTTAGGCATCGGAGTGTCTATCCCTAGGACCAACGATTTTGCAGGTTAGCTAAAGTGAAGACCCGAGCTTGGGAGCACTTTGGAGTTTTTTGCAGTAACACCCTCTTATATAACCTATTATGAGATGTACCAAAAAAAAAAAAAA